ACAACATAATTTTAAATCAATTTATTTAATACTTATATATGTGCCGGAACATTAGCACAATCACACAGAGAAGCTGCGGTCTTCACACTCGACGCTACCACGAGCCTTAGTAGCTCGAAGTTCACAGGATTTAGTATCCAATATTTACTTGCCCTGCAACTCTGGTTCAATTCCGAAATCTATGGCTGTTTAAATAATGAAAAGAAAAAAATATATAAAGAATAAAATAAAATTTAAATGTTAAGCTAGTTGAAGTGTCACTTCAATTTCCCTTTTACATAAATGTGTCAGGATACCATTTCATTTTTAAGAGAAAACCAGTAATTATATTATTTCTACGAGCCCTGTTTTCCAGATAAAAATGTAGTGAATTGAAGAGTGCACGATTTATATTTATAACTTAAATAAAACTTATAGTTAAATACAAATACAACTTAAACTAGGTGTTTAGTCTTAATTCCTTTCTATGTCACCATTTCTTTATGCAGGAATCAGTATTAAATGTACGCGTATTGTCAGCAATATCCTGAATATTTTATTTCTACCCTTTAAGTTGTTGCATTGAAGAGAAAACTAAAGTTGCGTTTACTTACTTTATTATTCCACTCTTACTAATAACTGCAGAAGTCGCTTGGGTCTAGAAAAATAACTAGTTCGAAGCGAGTCAAAGAGTTCTTTCAGGCACCCTTTAAGCCTCAGCATGGCAAAGAAATGCTACCCTAATGAAAAGCAGAGCCTGGCCTTTTAGATGAAGAAGCCCTGACTCTGCTTGTTTTACTTGCATCTAGCTATTTAAGGCCTCTGGCGCAGCTTCTTGATTCGTGACTGCTCAAGGCCAAGAACACCATTGAGGGACAGCAATCTTCTTACATACACAAAATGCGACAAGAAAGCGAAAAAAGATGAGAATTCAGGAGAAAGGAGATGGGTGGCTCAGTAGGGCTAGGCGAATGAAAAGAGTTGTGCAGCACAACGTGTAACATGCTGAATATTTAAAGAATTTCTTAATTGTTAAAACACGCACACACACATAAATATAACTGAAGGAGAAGGAGACAAAAACACACAGAAGGAAACACAAAAAGACGTTGAACAACAAGAATATAGTATGGCTCTGGTCATTCGGTTGCCTGTTGTTGCCATTCTTGTGGGTCGCCATTTAATAATTCAACTTTTGTTGTGCTCCCATTTTTTGGTATATGAAGAAAATGTTTTTTTAAAACAATTTTCACAACAAACGACAATGAAATGATGGCGACCAGCAACAGAAAGAGAAAGAGAAACAGAAACAGCAAACGAAACAGTCACACAATGCGCAGCATGTGGCACAAAGTGCCAAAGGAAACTTTAACCAGAAGAAAGCAACAAAAATGGGAAACAAAAAGCGTAACAGTATATGAAGTATAAGCAACAGCAAAGCGCGAAAAAATAACCGAAAATATAATAAAAAGAAATTGGACAATAAAATACAAAAATTTATAGCTCGCAGCAATCCTTTTTGGTGGCACTTTACGGCCGCTGGTCGACATTGCTCGATTCTCGGTGCTCGATGGTCGATGCTCGATGGTCTATAGCCGATGGTCGAGGGACGAGGGACGATGAAATGAGCGCTAAAAGTCTCACAGCAGCAGTAAGAAGAACAGCAGCCAGCGTTACATTGTTGCGGTGGGCAGCAAGTGGCGATGGGACGAGGGCGTGTCCCCAGCCATGGGGAAGCACTGCCAGAAATGTCAGTGGAAACTAAACGAAAATGTTTAGTTTCCTTATTTGTATGCCCTTCACAAAAATGGTGCTTTGCCTTTGTCGTCTAAATTTGTTGCGTTGAATAAAAGAAAAAATTCTTCGATTTGCTTTGATAATAAAGCGATTGTTAGGAAAAATGTAACCTTTTATGAAATCTAAAAGCAAAACCAAAAACTGACCTCAAGAGTTCAAAACAAAATTTCATACTTAGAGCAGTATTTAAATATTTGATATGAACGACTTTTTTTAAGTTCTTAGCTCACAAACTAAACTTAACTAGTTCAATAGTACTTAGTAAACAAACTTTGGCTTCTTGGTCCTCTAGTTCATTCGTCACATGAAAGTTTACGTGTTGTGGATCGTCAGCAAAAATTATGAACACTTTTTTACGTTAAACAATAAAAGATCTGCAAATGTAGTCACTGGACTAACTTTTGAAAACTTTTCCACCATCATTCGATGGTAAGTGAGGATTTAAATGGATTTATTAATATCTATATCGCTCGTTAGTAGCCTCAGCAAACTCATGATTATATTGCTGTTGACTAAGTGTGGAACTCAGTCTGCAAACACTTTAAATCACTTTCGAGTCTCAGTGAAATCGGACTTCTTCTTGATAGTTCAACACATCAAACAACTATAGCCGAATCGCAATAGATATATAATTTTTTGTGAAAGCTACACATAAATTTGAACATTACCAGCAACCAAAAAAAGGTGAATTGAAAAGCTTGCTCAAGAGTATTTTAGTTTCGTTTTCTATTGTCATTTATTTATTTTTTGGTTTGCGTTCAAAGCTTTTGCGCGCTCGTTCGTTTTTTATGTTTATTTATTTATTATTTCTAGGTTTTCTGCAGCGTCTTTTTTCATTTTTCTGCTTTCGCCATTGTTGTAGTATGTAGTTGTTGTTCGTTTGTTATTTATGTGTGCGTGTGCTGCCATTTTTGGCTTTAGTTTTGCTTCGATCTCGCTGTGCCTTTTATTACTTTTATTATTTTGGCGCTCTAACTGATTGCTCTGAATGTTTGGGCTGCTGGTAACAAATGTTTAACAAAAGTTGCTGCTGGCAGTTTCATTTTAACTGCCTGCAAAATGATTTAGGAAATGTGGAGCCCCACCCCTCGCCGCCCATCCACCCAATGCTATTTCCAACTGTCGGGCCCAAGGCCAACCTTCAACCATCAATGGGAAACTTTTATTTCATTTAATTGAAATTTTATGTAAAATACATGCTTATTCCGTTTGACGCATAGTTCGTGGAAAAAATACTCGTACACACTTGTTATCAGAATGGGTAGGAAAATGCTCGCTACTTGACCTTCTCTTTAAGCCGAACACGCACACAATGCACCCGAAATAAGATAAATTTCATGATTTTTCAATGTTTGAACTTTGGCCACACTGCAAACATAAATTACACTGAGTGGAAGGACTCGGATGAAGGGTGGCGGGAACTTTGTGTGCGATAGCAGCTAGCAGCCACTTTTACTGCAATGCTCCTCACACGAGCAATACGGCCAAAATAAAATCATCCGGACGTTGCGGGGACTTTATCGCACTGCGAGGGGCCCGAGAGTTGTGTGTGTGTATGTGTGTATGTGACTGTGTCTGTGGAAATAAAATAAAATGAAATAAAATGTTCCTTTTTAAAATAAATAAAATCAAAATGCACAGAGATAAACAAACGTTGTATGGGTCGTTTGGTACTTACCAGCCAAAAACCCGAACCCCAGGAGCTGCAATCCTTTCTCTCTTAACAAATTGACAAGCGAGCGTTGCGCATGGATCAACGCTAACAGCAATGGACAGGGAAACAGGGACAGCAGGGGGTATCCGACCCTCTGATGTTGCGACAGACAAGCGGAAAGTAAAAGCGTCAGCTGGAGGAAGTGTGACTGAAGTGTTTGTTGAGTATGTTTCGAGTGCAATCAGAACAATAACAACAACAACGCCAACACCACCAACACCATCACCAATAGCAATAGCAATAACAACAGCAGTAAGGATGGTGGAGCCGGAAAATGTGCGAGTGTTGATGGCTGTTGTAGAAGTCTTTATGCCCCACACGCAACTTAAGCAAAATCCCTATATGTTTAAACAAAAACACACACACACACACACACACATGCACAGTTCCTCACAAAGTAAGAAGTTAGAAGCTTGACTTTTTGTGAAAAGGGAAATTATTGGTTATTGTTTCTGCTGCTGTTGTTCGGTGTTCTGGGTGTGGTGCGGCTTTGTTCGGTTTAGTTTGGTGTGAGAAATGTAGATAAGCTATGATTTTGTCTACGGCCATTATCAGCAAACATTCAGTAAAGAACAATTTGACGATGGGCTTAAATTGAAAGTTGCCCTTAAACAAGCTCAACTTTATGGCTTGATGCTATCACAGTGCTGATGTTTATGCTCCCGGGTCTTGGTAAGTGATTTAGAGAAACTTTAAAATACCGCAAAACTTCAAAGCATTACATTTTATTATGGATATTCAAACTTTGCACCTAGTTGTGGTTTTTTAGCAAGGAAATACAATTTGCATTACAGAAGTGTGTCAAGTATGACGCAAGCTCTATTAACAAACTAAACGTTAAGCGTTATTTCTTTCCTTCTTCTGCAGTATAAATAATAATAATGTCAGGTTTAGTTCATACTGCTTTCGCCATTAGTATGGGGAATGACATACATTTTTTATCCTCCTTTTCATCAGAGCTAGTTCATCATTTTAGTTCAGAATTTTTCATTATAATACATTTTTTAAAAATTTGAAGTCTTCCTGAGTTCAAAGGACGTCACCTAACTATCGATGTCATCAAATGCTTCGCCATGTGGTCTTGGTTGTTCCTTAACTGCCATTCGATTAGTTAGACCAGAAACATGTATTTTATTAATTTTAATTTTATATTATAGCCTTAGTAGTGTACTTCTTCAGCCACCGTAATTTCTATAAGGAAATCAGAAAATTTATGGAATTGTCAGCTATGAATTGCTTACCTTTGTTTTCATGAAAATCTGAACAATTTGAATGGAAATTAAAAACATGTTTATAACCGGATCGCCTATTTTGCAGTTGTTTTTCGAGTAGCAGACATTTTGGAAGTAAACAACAACATGAAAATCTGAAAAGGTTTAACATATTGATGCTATTTTCAGCATTTAGACATTCTATATTTGGCTTATACTTGTACCTTCTGAATTATGTCCACAAATGAAGCATGAGTAACCTGCTTGTGTAATGAAAAGAACACATATAAACAAGACAATTTTGTTTTTATTAATTTATTTTTATTTCACTTTCTGCTCCTCTGCTTGCTCTCTCCACAAACATCGTCTCTCATGTACATACACGAAATTCTTCTTCGGTTATTATCCAACGTTTTATGTTAATTTTACTTTATGTCTTACATATAGTATGTATACATAGCTTTTCGTACAGTTTATCTTTATCATGTCCATACAAATATTTACATTGTAACTTCGGGGCTGTTCTTATCGGAACTGTCCATCAAAAGTGTCTGGAATACGTCATAAACATCAGCATAAAGTATACTTTGCAATTTGCTATATGAGTACAGTTAGTTGTTACATTATTTATATTACCATAATCATTATCGTTAGCATTATTGTTAAACCAATAAATAATAGTGTTTTGCTTTGCTTATTCAGTTTGTTAACAGTTAAACAACTGCTAGTAAAAATTGTTTAAACATCTCTTAGTTTACTTTTATTCTGGCTTCCTTCCGCTATTCCGTGTAGGTGTTTTCTGTTTCCTCTGCCGCCATTTTGTATAACTATAAATGGTTTCATTCGTTTAAACTAATATAATAAGTTATCGTTATAGTAGTATAGTATGTAGTACAGTATATGTATATGTATATATTTTTAATTTAATTTTTGATCACATGTGTCTTTTTGTTTCAACTTCGCTTTATCTGGCCATTCCCCCTCACATTGGTTTCATTTGTTTCGCTTCGTTTTAAACCGTAAATCTGCTTGCATTTTTAACGATAAACAAGAAAACAAAAACGGTTTATTTGCTTAAATGCCCATTAGTCAGGCCTCGCATATGGCGCAAACAAAAATGTAGTATATATCCACTTTGTGTGTATAATGTATTCAACTGAATCGATTCAATTTGCCAAATGCACTTTGTGCCTTTCTAATAAACAAGCCAAACATTTTTGTGCTTTTGTTATGTAAATTTCAGGACTAAATTAAAAAATGTGCGTATATGAGTTTGTGTGTGTGTGCGTCGGTGTGTCTATATACCATTTGTGTTTATTTGTATGTTTGTCATACATATTTATATATTTTGATGCTCCTTTGTCGTTTGTTCTTTCTCATATTTGCTATACAATGCTTTTCCATTAGATCGTTTATTAGTTTTACTCTCCTTTTGTGGTGTGAACTTATTTTCAATTTTGGCGGGTTGACATTTGTATGGATTTATTAATTATAGAATATTTTTCACTTTATTTAAATACTGTGATTGAAAAATATTATGGTATTATATTTTACAAAACGATTCAAATTGGTGCGTTCGTCAAATTGCCATAAAAATGCTAAGCTAATTAAATTTCCAACCTTGGTTAACTAATTAAACGAAAAAACGTGTATTTCATAAATAACGCAATTATAACGCCTGAATCAAATAACCCATAATTACAGTTATTAGCTAATTAGCGACAAATAAGGGACGTCATTATTGGCTACTGCATACATTAATTAATTTAAAGAATTTAAAAAAGTAAACATTGATTTGTAAACATGAAAAACATATAAGTAACCTGATAGCCCTAACAGCTCGAGCTTTAATTCATATTTTAAGTAAAAATACAAAATAACTTGCTGCCAGTACTAAATGCATATTCACATATTGTTCCTTTCCCACTCCCAGATTAAGATTTAAGCCTGATGGGAAATCGATTTTACAGCTACCAGACATTTATTCATCACAAGGTGATGAAATACTGTTGGTAGAATCCACAAAATCTGACTTGTCTCAATTGAAAAATATTTTTATGCAGCACTTGACATTGAGTTTGAATACATCTTTTTCAATATCAATTTAAAGTCATTTAGTGTACAAGTACATATGTACTATATTTATGCATTTAATTTATCGTTTTTACAACGAGAGAACTGTTCTCATATCTCTCAATGGACTGAGAATGTTGCGTCTTTCTTAATATCCCACTGATCTCTTTCGCTTGCAAAAAGTAATTTAAAATTAAGTTGAAGAATCATATAAGGCGAAAGAATATCGTTAGCCTTAGAAATCCACTGCCTTTGAAAAAATGTGCCAGCTCTCAAATAATTGTTGAATATAAAAACGTATTTCTTTGCGATTTTTACATTAAATAATAAGTATTGCAGTGCTCCTTAAGTACTGATATGACCTTTTTAATATAAAATAAGCCATACCATAGCTTTGACACAAGTTTTCACTGCTTTTCCAGGAACGACGCCCTTTATTTGCTGCTCATTCTCGTTAGTCGGTTAATGAGCTCGAAGTTTAAAGAAAAATACCAAATACAAATTTCAGCTTCTTATATAGTATTCGTAATTTATTTTCTATTATAATATTTTCCAAAAATTGTAACTAACAAATACAAATTCGTGCAATGTCGCAACAATTTTTCATTTGTTGTGGTCGCCGCACCTTATTTTGTTTATTAATTTGTGGCTAACAGTGCTTTACTTTTGCTATTTGTTTTGTTTAGTTATGCTAGATAACTGTTTGTTTACTTTTTTTTGTAATGTTTTTCTTTTCGTATTTGTGCGCATTTCTTTTTATTTAAGTTCTTCTTGTTCTTTGTCGCGTCTGCGACGCCCACTTTTTGGTTTTCTCTGCGCCTCTCTCTGCTCATCCTAACGTTGCCTTACTTAGAGCTAAAGATAAAAATAAACATGGCAATGATATTTACACAATGTTGGCTCAGCTATGGTAACTATATCTGTATGAGCATGTGTGGGTGTGTGTGTGTGTGTGTGTGTGTGTGTGTGGGTGGGCGCATGGGTGTGTGTGTGTGTGTGTATTTGTGTGAAGTATGGCGTCCCATTTGCCACTTTGTATTTGACTATGTGCCCTGCCAGCTGTGCACAAAGTTGCATTTTGCGCGAGAAGGGAACAAGTCTGTCAGGGAAGGGAAGGGCAGCAGCTGCGGGACGCGTCCTGTTGAGTGGAGTCTGAGCGATTGAAAATGTAGCCAGATTCTGCCATATGTATGAGTCTGTCCCATTTTGTAAATGTGTGAGTTTGCAGCAGCTGTGCTGCAACTTCGTGCATGGCAAAAGTCTCACAGACATTTACAAACAGACGCGCCAACAACAAAACCAAATACTTCAAAAACGAACGACAAAAAACTTTGTCAATTAACCTAAAACAAGTTTCACTTTACAACACGTACGTTTCACATAATTTCCTGTTGTTGCATCTGCTGGTGCTCCAGTTGTTGTTTTTGCTGTTGTTGTTGTTGCTGATCTGACATATGCGGCCGCATGTGTAGGTAAGTATGGGTGTGTGGGTGTTTAAGCTTTTCATATTGTTTGGAGAAATTATCACGTTCTTGGTCCTTGAAAGCGACAGTAGGATCTGCCCATAATGTCTTCGGCTGGAATTGACTGATCAATGGGTGGCACTCGCAAAAGGTCCATTTGATCTCGCACCTGAAATGACAAGCCAAAAAATGCATTTAAGCATTTAGGTATAATTGTGGGAATGTTAATTCAACTCAATGTTAGTTAGGCATCTATTGGTCGTTCGGGGCTTAAGGGACTTACATTATAAAAAAAAAACACGGATATGAAGTGTCAATTAATTCCATCGATTATGCATTTTTCAGTTTCCAGTCTTCAATGTTATTTGTTTTTATTTAAATATTGCATCTTAAATACACCATTTTATTTTATTCATTCTTGTATGATCTGAACACATTATTTGTGGTTCTTTTGGATTACTGCCTCAGCATTGTAAAGGTTTCTTTAAACTCGTATATTTTACGTAAAGAAATGGTGCAGCTTGTTTGCATAATTATTTTCGCATGACAATTTTTTCTAAATTGTGGAAATAGGTAAGAAGTTAGGCTAACATATCAATTTACAATTGAAATATCTTTAAATCGACACTACATACACGAATCTGAGCGAAAGAGACAGCAATTGAAGTGATCATTTTAGAAAAGCTCTTGGGGAAATATTCGTATAGGCCTTTCATTTGAAAAGATACACAACTTTTCTTTTTTGTTCTTTTAATACAATTATACTTGTATGCTATTTTTGTATAGACATGTAGGCTACAAGCCCTCACTAGGGATAGTTTCATTACAATTACCATTATTCTTACATTTCTTTAAACTTGTCTCTATGTATCATAATAATTTGGCTACAGTAGCGTTCATTCTATAATTAAGTTTTTCTGCTGTCGAGAACAGTAAGTTAAAGGACATTCTTACAAACATGTATGGAGCACTTCTGAAAAAAAAACAATTTATTTTTTGAAGGGGAAAAAAAACTCAACTGAACATCGCACATTAAATTATTTTAATAAATAATCTCAAAAGTACATTTTTGGATGAAGGAGCAATTTCAGTATAAAAATAAGTATAACTGAAGGTCCTGGAAGCCATTGCTAACATAACGACTTGTGTTAGTTTTAAGGTTTTAACTTTAGGCTGGCATATTAAAAATAAATGTATGAAAATTGAATGAAAAATATTTATGGCTATATGAATCAAATTGGACATATTTGCATGGAATTACGAGAGTTCTGAAAATCAGTAATAGCGGACGATTAGAGTGCACTGGACAAATCAAAACCTTCTGCGATATCCTGTTTTGAGAACTTGAATACAAAGATTGGTGTTTAAAGGTCTCATACGTATGTTGGTATACTGGCCATCAACATATGTATAAATATACTTCGTGAGGCCTATTATGCCTCCTTCTGCGTATTACACACATTCGCACCAAACTATTGTACCGTGATATCCTTTAAGCATGCTGTATAAAAAATAATAAGCCATTTATACACCAGGGAGAAATGATTAACTGTGTTCTTTTCAACTAAATATGTTAGGTGGTGACAGGCTTAAATTATTAAAAATTTGTGGTGTGATTGGGGTGGGATTATAACTTTTTGCTTCAATATACAAAATACCCCTTTTGGAACGATTTGTTGACTACAGTTGAGTTAATCGAATGATGGTCGTATTGTGGAACAGATGATGTTTTGATAGCTTAAGCCCAGACTTATCCCAAATCATTGTCCAGGTTTTCTATGCCCCACATTAAACACACATGTGAGTGCTTGAAATACCACTGTAAGTCCCAACAATGTTCATTCTAGCTTTTGGGCAGCTCGGCGCGTGCTTTGTCGAAAGTTAGAAGCACATTCAACTAGAAAAAAAAATTGAAAAGTACAACAAACGAAACAACAAAAAATTTGCTTTTCAGCACCAAACACCTTTTGAGGCCACACAGCTGCGTCAAGCAGCAACGCATTCATGCCTTCACCCACTGCGCCCACTCCGCCCACCCGCTCCACACGCTGCACCCGCCCCACCCAGCAGCCTACTCGTCTGCTCGTCAGGCCGTCCCATTTCCTATGTTTTGTTTGCAATACAATCGAATTTACGACTCTTTTATGGGGCTTTATGTGCGCTGCCACAGCCAACAACAATAACAGCAATAACAGCAAGGACAACAACAAAAACACAACTCAAACAACAATAAAACGTCAGCTAGGCAGGCAGCCCAGCCAGTCATTGCACTTTGACGTTTGGCCCGCCGCCTTCCCGCCTCATAACAACTTTTCCGTTTGGCGCATTGAAGAGACGACGTGCATAATTTTTGCTTCAGGCATTTCACTTTTCCGGCCTTTGAGTTGCCCGTCCTTTCGTTCCTTTGAGTGCTAAATGAAACCAAAAGCACAGTTACATTTGCACTTCTAGTACAAAGTGAAAAGTTCAAAGCAAAAGCCTCTTTAAGAGCTCCCCACATTTATGGAAGTCAAATCAATTGTGCACAGCAGTCAGCGACACGGAAGGTCAACGCACAACATACAACGCACACACACACACACACTCACCGACTCACACACACACACACACACACACACATACACACACACTAATACTAACACAGAGAGGCAGGAAACACTCTCTGCGAACAGACAATTTTTTGGGCTCATCTTGGGTTTAGGGTTTGGAGCCGGGGCCCATTGAGCAAAAGATATTTAAATGAATTTGTCTCGCACAAATTGCTGTCATTTGCCGAGGCGACAGCGACGAGTCTGCCAACGTCTGACAACGACAATGACGGAAAACAACCTCGGGCTATGGCTAGGTCTACACTGGGAGAAAAGAAGGAACATTGTCTTATTTTCTTTTCCAGATATTTTGATAGACATTGAACAATATAGTAAAAGTGCATGTAGCGGATTAAGAAATACTGTTACTTCCATTTACCCATATCCTCTTCTCAAAGGATTCGATAAAATTTCAAAATTTAAATTTTGAAAGCAATTTCCGAGTATCTTCAACAATAGCTTTAAAGCTGTAGACAACATTTCTCGCAACTAGTTAGTTCAAAGTATTATCAGGAAAAGAAATAATAATGTGCAGATTAAAACGTATCTCTACACAATAATATAATTGCAATGGAAGTATTTTTACCGAAATAATCTCATCTAGTAAACACACACGAAAAAAAGGTTGTAAAAAGCATTTAAACATAATTTAGATTCCATAGGAAGATAAGATGGGAGCATTTTCTGCTAATCATGCCCATTTTCTTTTGACGACAACACGAAGGCATTGCCCACTTTTCTTCGAGTGTATGGATGTGGGCTATTGCTTTGGCACTATCGCTATGTGTCTCTCCAAATGCGAGCAGGCGAACGTTAGATATAAAAGGCTAAAATAAAAGATACATTTACACACGCGCTCTCGCACACAGACACAGACACACACAAGTGCAAACAGCAGAGATACATGTGCTGCTGCTTTTGTGAAGATAAAAACTGGCGTCAAGAAAATTATCATGTTCATGGATTGTGCTACACAGCAACACTTTGCTGGCTGCCTGCCCTGCTATTTGTGGTTGTTGTTGAGGCGCATTTAAAAGGCGCCGTTCAGACATTACGCACACAAACATGTTCGCCATTAAAAGCCGTTGCTCGCTCGCTTGTTCATTTGACAATCGCACAGTTGTGGCCACCATGAAAGGGTATATATGGAGATATATGTGTGTTGGTGGAGCGGTCCGATGGCAATCATTAAACTGGCCTTTTGCCTAATTTCTATGACGTGCTTAATTATCTTAGCAATGGCCGCCTCTATAGAAACAGTAACAACAACTACCAAGTGAAATCCCCAAGCCTCTTTCCTCCTCTCTCTTGGTCAATTCGCCTGCCTTTTGGGTCTCTGGTGACCTACTCTACAAAATACTCTTGGTGCCAAAAAGCATTAAGCGCCTAATAATTGAACATTTGACCCGCTTTTTGTCATTATTTAATTGCGAATCGAGTCATCCAAGGGGGAGCGAAGAGGCGCGACGCTAATAAGTATGCTATAATGTACACATTTTACGAGAGATTTGCGCTCAGTGGCTTAAATAGCACTGCGATTTGGCCGACTGATATGCATGTTATATGAGGATTTACATAAGTCACTTTTTTTTTTTTTTTTTTTTTTGTACAATATGGAAATTTGCATTTTAGGCACGTCGAACATTTAATATGTCAGTAAAAGAAAATAGTCTAAATAAAATTGTAGCTTAAAGCTTCCTGAATAAAAGAGTTTAATGACGAATAGGTCTGCCGAAAATCTGAACAATATATTTTTTAAATGATAGTTCAGGGGCATTTACAAAATTGACTGTAGCACTATACTTGTATTAGCACCAACAAATTGATAAGAGGATTGGTGAATAGTACTAAGAACTAAATGTAATTTTATTGTATATATTATATGGCTACCGTCGGATAAGTTGGTGTAATAACAACATTAAGAATAACAACACTTTAGCGCATTACGATATCGAAACCAAATCCAGTATTATGAGTTTCTTTATAGGGCCTCAACATTAACGAAATAATAATATCAAGCTTTAAAGGAAACGGTTAGGGCAATAAAGTTGGTTTAAGTTCAAGGACAGTGGTGTATAGAGTCTGGCTTGAGCGACTTTTACGTTACACTCATTAAAAAATACAAAAGTAGGCTGGGAACAGAACAAGAATTTTTTGTTGTTGTTTTGTACGCTTAATAGCCAATCGTGCCCAATGGAATCTTCTTATACTTTGATTTCTAAATATTAATGAGAGAGCCCTTCTGGCTAGTTCATGCTTTGCTGTGCTTTTCGAACAAATTTTGTTCAAATATTTCAATAAAAGTAAAAGAAAATGAAATTATTTGTTTAACATAGCTTTGAAGTATGACTTCCCGAAAGCAAAATAAGGGCATACAAGTATATCTTTTACTAAAGACTATCAAGCCCTCACACGTTAATTGCCCTTAGCTTAGTTATGTAGCAGTGGCTTGGCCCTTTAAAGTTTTCCCACCATCACACTGTTTTGGAATAATATTAACATACTAAAAATATATCCAAATCAATAGGCTCAAAAATTAAATAATCCAACCCTTCCAACTATTTAATCTTATTTTCGACTTTGTCCATTTTGAAGCAAAGAATAAATGTACGCCAAACACATAGCAATTAATTAATGCATTTCGGCAATTAATGGAACTATTAATAGTGGATTCTGAAAACATTTAAAAACGTAAATTCCACAAATGAAGAAAGAAATGCTTGAAGCATTCCCGGCATCCATTTTCCGAGCTTTTTTCATTTTCCTCGTTTTGTGGCTGCCTTGACAAACAAAAGATAAACGGCTTGGTTATATTACATCGGACAAACAGACAGTGTGAATATTTTTAATTACTTCCGCACCACCTCATCAAAAGAAAGGAAAAAAGAAGCATTTTTAATGAAAAAAGACCTTAAAATACGATTTTTTTTTAATAAAAATTATGCAATCATAAGCAGAGCAAAAAATGCTGTAATACATATTTATGTGAAGTCGTACACTTGCGCTTTGTCTTTGCTATAAATTATGTACATATGCATGAATGTATATGTGTATATTCATATTAAAATGAATGCGCGCTGAGTGCGAGTTTAAATTAAAAAAAAAAAAATAGGGAGCGCGATTTTAATCAGCTGCGCGCAAAAGCATGCTACACTTTTTTTGCCCACCACACGAGTATGCCGTAAGAGTTTCTAGCTTCAATGGGGGCTGCATATTCTTGACCACATGTACATAAATACATAAGTATATACTACATACATATATACATAGTATGTGCGGAAGAAAGAACTGAAGTGGACTGTGCTGGCCTCTTTCGTTCTTTCGCAAAACTAATTACAATGTTTGGACGACGGCTGATAAGGCATAGAGAGCAAAAAAGCGAAAATTATTAAAGTTGGTTGGCGGGCCGCTTGAAAGACAAGCGCTAAATTAAAAATGCTGCGGCATTGCGAAATAGAGATGTGCGCGTGACAAATATGCATTCGTCACGATCACACACATTGACGAAACCAATTTAATGGAACCTTCGCGAATTTCGAATTGCATTACATTATCCAGCATTATATAACCCGTATCTTTTGAAAATTTGTGTTTATATATACTGCCTGCCTTACTTCAGTAGTAGTACTTCATTTTTATTAAGAACAAATTATGTGTATAATTTTATTGAAATGCAAAAACTTTTTAATGTTGCCTAGTCCTGACTGTGAATACCCATTTTAATATTCTTTTTTTTTTACATTTTGCGAGTTTTTTTGATAAAAGATGAACCAAAATATTCTCAAATTTTTTTTGGAAACCGTTTTTTTTTTTAATTCCTGCTTTCTGTGATGGTCTACAATTTGTTACAAAGCACTTCGGAACTCTTGTGGCTTTAATTTTCGTTACATCGTTTTTTTTGTGAATCGGGACTTACGAATTTTATTGTAATTTCCACGATCACGCGCACGCATTCACGCAAATCCCCCATGCAAAACTTGAAGTAGTGGCGAAATTGAAGAACAAGTTGTGGTTGGTCCCCCGCCCCGAACCCTCTGCCTTTCTCTTACCATCTCAAAGTTAGTATGGAGGTTTCCATAATGAGCAAAAGCAATAAAATATATGCGCAGCGTGCAGGGGCGTATGATTTATATTTGTTATTATGTTAAAATCGCGCTATGGCTTCCACTTGGCAAACGCACAATGAGGCTGCAATTTAGATTAAATTTTTTGCAACTAAAGCAATTTAGTGGCTAACAGAGAAGGAGAAACTAAATCCTGACTAAAGCAAACTGATGCCAACTTGCATTATTAGTTTCACAATAAAGAAGAAGTTAATAAGTTTCCATAGCACTAAAATAATAATAATAACAAAAAATTTACCCTTATTCATAACCTCAATGCTGGGTTAAATATATAAATAAAATAATCACTGATTATGTGGGGAATATAAATAATTGTATTTAATTAAAAAAGCTGTTTAAAATAAATTACCTGCTAGCAAAAAACTGCAAAAATGCTTCTTAATAGGTTAATACTACTCAGTCATTTGATTTTTGGGATTAAAAAGTTATCCTATGTTTTTATACTTCTTCATATATTTTGTAAATTGACTTATAAAACATATAGTATAAATTATAATAGAATATAAATCCAAAATAAGTAATCAATAAGCAACGCTTTTTAGATTCAATTAACTAATCGACTCGTAATGGACCATTTTTGTAATGATTGTCGCAATTGTTTGCTTGGCCAGCTTACCTACTGTATCTAATGTACTTGGAAACATTAAAGCAATCGCATGGAAGTTCTAGGCCACACTCTTATCAGAGAAACAGTCAAGTAATAGCATGGAAGCTTTAGGCCGCATTCTTAAAGGAAGAACTTGCCTATCTCATGTTGCAGTATTTGTGAGTTCTTTTCAACTTTAACACTCCATGTAGCTGCAATGAAGTAGATAATGCTGAGGAACTGTGTTAGTTGGCATCAGTCATTTGCTTTCTGCTGATATTGTTGACCACTCAAGCGTCCTGCTTGGTGTTGGGAGCACTTAAGACATTTGCTAAGCTACGCTTATCTTAGCACTCGGGAAACTTCCCAGGAAACTTCTTAAGCACTTACCCTTTCACATGCTTCTCCACCCATTCAGGGGCAGTCATTCATGGTCAATAGAGTCATTCAGCGACGCTTCCCCAGCAGCTAAGCAACCGCTGCATATTGATTTAAATTGTAAACTGCTTTAAGCCGAAGTTGCTTCTGTGAGCAGGACACTCTGCTATGGCAACAGCAGTGAGCAGGCAACCAGACAGCAAACAAGTTGACCGCATCCGCAAACAAACTGCCGTTGATGATGGGGGCTGTCTATAGTGCCGGCCAGCTCTTTTTTAAGCCAGAACTACTGTTGCTGCTGCGGCTACTGCTGGTGCTGGTGCTGTAGGTCCACTGTCCATGTATAAATATCAGAATAACCATTTGAAAATCCTTTTAAAATTATTTCACAACTTGAGTCTTTTCGACGCCAAGACGTCGACGCTAGTCGTTGGCTGCTTGGCCTGCTTCTTTGCGGCACCAAGCATGTGCAAATTCCATTGAAAAGCCACATTATTCCTTTTATCCTTTGAAAGGAATTTTCCAACTGCAATAACAAGCCAGCTGGCAAGCAACAAAATGCAGCGTGCTATGGCGGGCTGGCTTACTGCTGAACTGGGACCAGCTCCAGGCTTCGAGGCAGTCATCTATGTGGCACACACACACACACACACACACACTTGCAGGACACTGCCCCGCCGCCAGTGACTCAAGTGGAGAAGTGGATAAAGCAACCACATGCTCATTGCTCGGACATGTGCAGCCGCTTTGTTTGCTTTTTTCAGTTGTGAAAAATGGGGATGTGTGTTGCCTTAGTTTTGTGGCAGCACTGACTGCCTAATCCTGTTGTTGGCGTGCGTGGCTCCTTGCCGCACAGGTAAACACTGAGAGGAGCAAAGCTTTTTGAAAAATGTTGCGCTGCCACAACGCAACGAATTTTAAACGTCGAACCTGCCACGTCTGGGACATGCAACAATAGAAAAATGGAATTGAAAGTGGTGGGGCAGGGTGGGGGATGGGCGATGGGAGATGGGAGATGGATGCCAATGCCAAGGTAAACAAAACAAACATTGCACACTTTCGGGCGCACTATGGCACAATAGCAACTACTTACCGCTTCGACATCCTTAAATACACGTATTAGATTCTTGCCAGCCAACTTCCCAATGTCCTCCTCCGACCATTTATCAGACTCGAGTAGGGCGGCAAAAAGGTAAGGATATTTGGAAACATCCTCCAGTCCTTTGGGCACTCTGCAAAAGCACAAACCATAGCAAACGAAAAAAGTAAACTCTGAGTACATATTCTAGAACGTAGAATGCAATAATTTGGCAAATTAAATGAAATTTCATTTCATTTTGCTAAAATTTTGTTTGCTCTTCACTTTTCGTTTGTGTGCACCAAGCAAACAAGAAGCATGGAGGCAGTAAGGCAGTAAGGCAGTGAGGCAGTAAGGCAGTGCGGCATTGAGTAACCAGAAGCCATGTCTGCCATCATTACTCGTCCAGTCAAGGTCTGAAAGTGCTACTTACAAGTTGACGCCATCGTAGCCAGCCCCAATGCCCACATGATCGATGCCGGCCACTTCACGTATGTGGTTGATATGCGCTGCAACATAGGAAGTCGAATAAAATGCAATGAGATGAGTTGAACGGTAAGTGGTGCAGGGGAAGGAAGCTGTAGCAACTGAAAATTAATTACTTTAATGACTTACCAACGACATCCTGCAGCGTCGCCTGACTCGAGCAGCTGACGAAATGCGGGTAAAAGGCAACCATGACGAGACCACCATTTATGGCCTGCAACCAAGTGAACGTTGAAGGATTAATGCATTTCTAATGGGTTCTCTTCCCTCCGAGTACTTACAATACGCTGCAGCACATGATCAGGCACATTTCTGGAACTATTACAAATGGCATGCGCCGAGGAGTGGGAGAAGATGACGGGCGCCCGTGACGAGCCCAGAGCATCCAGCATTGTTGGCACAGAGACATGCGACAGATCGACAATCATGCCCAGGCGATTCATTTCCTGCACCACCAGCTTCAAAAAACAACAAACATTTTCTTATCTCAGCGAGAGTCCTGACAACGCGGTCCTGTAATGCTCACCTTGCCGAACTTGGAGAGGCCTCCTATGTGGGGATATTTTCCCGGTTCGTCAACTTTGCAGCAGTCGGCCCTGTGGAATCGAATGAAATGAATTGTGAACAAATGATTTGGTGTTGTTTCATTAAAAGTTTGAATTGATGTTGAAAAGAAGATGCTTTCATTTATAACTTTTCACGAACCCTCCTTAAATGTCAACCTTAAATATTACTCCTTACAGTAGCTTGTTAATTGTTGAAATTTCTATACACTCGATTCAAAAAACAATCAAATGATACTACCTGTTAAATGTTGTTTTAATACTTTTATTAAATATTTTTGAAAATGTTAAAGCAAACTATGCGAGCCAGCCTTCGCAATTGTAAACACATTTCCATTACTTTGATACTTTTGGTTGTGTAACTAGGAGGTTGAATTAAAATTGCATAAATCTGTGATAGATTTGGATTTTTTCTCATCAAATAAAACAAGTTGCATTTAAATATATACATTGTTGACTGAAATTTAAAGCTGAATGGTAGAAATTTATTAATTAAATGTAAAACTTTAAACCGATTCAGCTTAAAAACTTAGTGAATAATTTAAATTTTAAGACCCATTTTGAATTAAATTACGTGTGAATCCATAAAAAATTGCAGCTTTAACCTCCGTAGAATACACATACATTAACACACTAGCTTTAAACGATTTCTGCAGATGTTGCGGAGGTGAAACAGAGAGGGAAAGCGATGAGCACCTCCCCTGGGCTCCACTGCCATGCACCAAGCAAGGCAGTCTTAAGTTACAAAAGTTCAAGTATAGATTTCAGAAGTTACTTAGATAGGTTATTGATTAATTACATGAAATGCAGTCTATATTGAAGCTAGCTCCTTAATGTATTTAAAATGCGTATATCTTGGCAAATGGCCTGTATAAAGTACTCCTATTTCGAGAATACAGAGCAATACTTTGTGTTTGGAGGTAAACATAATTTTTTCTTATTGTTGGGAGTCGATTACATTAATAATTCCCAAAATAGATCAAAGCGCTATGTTTGAATCCCCTGCATCCTGATATGTTCCATATGTGTGTGTACGTATATTTTAGACACACTACTACATACATATATATTCGTGAATGATGCGGAAGAGTAAATACTTATAATTGTGATGCATGGAAAAATGATTTTGGGTTGCGGCGCAAATGAATGCTGCTGGGTTATAACTAAATAATTGCTTTAACTATTTACCAATGAGATCAAATGAACCATTTGAATCGAATATTTTTTAGCTCTAATCAACTAGGGACAGCTATAGCAATTGATTTTAAATATGATTATCATATTTGGATTACGTTAGTTCTGTTACTCAACTCTCTCCTTACTACAGGAACTACCTGTCGCTTGAAACAAGCACCCCCTTCTATGACTAAACGCAATGAGCTTCGATCCACTTACCAGGGTGTATTGCAGGTGTGCGTGAGGGTGAGGTACCGGGCGCCCAGTTGATAGAACATGCGCAGCACACTGAGGCTGGTGCCAATGGCATGGCCACCCTCGACCCCTATAAGACTGGCTATCTTGCCGGTGCGATGAACTTGTTCGATGCCCGACGCTGTCGTCACGAGCGTCATGTGATGGGGATACAGCTGAACGAGGCGTCTGATCAGATCGATTTGCTCCAGAGTGAGCTGCACGGCGTCCAGGTGCTGGGACGAGCAGGGTGCGTAGGCGGACCAAAACTGTGCCGACACCATGCCCTCCTTGAGACGTCGCAGGTCCGTGTGGCTCCAGGCGCTGGTCGACCAGGGCGCTAGCTCGCGCAGATCGCTGCCAAAGCGAAAGTCTTTCAGCTGATTCTTGAGAAATTTGCGTATGTTCCAGGGCAAGTCGTTGTGGCCGTCTATCAGTGGCACCTCCTTCAGGACATTCTTCACGCGCTGCATGCGATAGTCGAAGTCGGTCGAGCCGGCCGAGCATTTCAGTATGGGCAGCACCAGCGGAAAATAGACAAACGTCAAGCAGTTCAAGCCACAAAGCACGAAGCCTTTTGGCAGCTTCCGCGATTTCATTGCCCCCAAGCTAGAAGAAGAACACGAAAGGCGCAGCACTCACATTGATGGTGTTTGTAGGTCGTGTTGCGGTTGTAACTGCAAATATATAGAAAATCAAAGAGGACTATATAGTACGGTTTAGACTTGCACGTAACTTTTTAAGGCAATGGCGTGCGACGTGTGTTTGTTTAGTCGTACGCCCCGATGGCAGATTGCGTGATTGAGCTATTGAAAGTTGCTGGCAAACAAATGCCATAAATATGACGCCCCCGGCAGCACGAACTTCTCTGCAGGCAGTACATCCTGCCGTCCCCCACCTTCACGCATCCTAGTTGCTCGGACGGACCAACAAAAATAAAAGTTTTCATATTTATTTCAGAGCCAACTTCAAATCGAAATCGCACACAAAATGAATAAAATGCACAATAAAAATGCAAAATTATTTATAGCAAACTTTCTGCTCAAACCGACGGCATTTGGTAAGAGAGCTGGCAAAAGCAGAGCAGGAGAGCGCCAGAGCGCCAGAGCACCAGAGCGTCAGCTCGAGAACAGAAATATGCAAATAGTTTGACTCTGGCGCAAAAGTTCAGTGCCACCAATAGTTTCACATGCAGCTTTGCTTTCTGTTGTGGAAGTCCAAAGTTTTTCCAAATGTATACGAGTATCCAGTACATAGCCAGGTAGAAAATTGTGAGAGTTTCTTCCAAATGTTGAAATGAAATTTACACTCCAACTACACTCAGATAAACAAATTACCATATATTCGAATTAATGTAGGGTGGAGGATCGGAATGCTCTGAGCCTTTTGCAAAACACTAAATTGAAAACAATAGAGACAAGGAAGGAGTCCGAACCCAAAAAACGATTCACCGGAAACACACAGAAAAAGAATACTGAGACGCCAAACCGTTTCTTACAATTAACCGACTTACATTCAATTTAAAATATAAATAACGGCCCATTATACTTATATACAGCTGCGTTGTGTGTTTATTTGTCTATGTAGCTTTGTGGACAGAATATTCAGGTGTTTATTCAAATGAACGAAAGAAGCTAGATCGAATTGTCTCTTTATTAAGTGTTTATATAAATTAAGGTGTCAAAAATGCTTCCTTCAGACCATTACATGCATTTGCACAAGCTGTTGATTAAAAGGTATTACAAAAAAAGGAAAATTTAATCATGCAAGCAAACGAAAACATTGAAACTGAAGCCTTAAGTCATGCACTCCTTCAGTTATTCCGGGCCTAAAAAATACATACACCACCACACATATATTTCCTTTTTGGGTAAAGGTCATATCCACAGAGACCATGCAATAATTATCATAATCTCTATAATGAGCTTGGGGAATATTTTTGCTTTAAGTTTAAAACATCGCTAATTGGATGGCAGGATTGAATTTAATTTTCAAAGTTTTGCTCTTGAAGATAGTTGTTTGAAATAAGCAGAAATCTTCCAACAGATTAATAAAAGTCATTGTGCCCTCTAAAAAGGATAATGAATAAATAAAAGATGCAATCAAATTACAATAAGTATTCAATCGTACTGATGCTCATTTGTGAATGTGAATGTGGATGTGAATTAAGGTAGTAATCAAGCGATTGAATTATTATTGACATTCATTTTTAAACAGTTTATTTTTAAGCTAAAAACTAATCATGAAATTTCAACTAGCTTAAGCTACCATATTGGTAGCAGAATACTGGTTTAATAAATTGTATGTACATTAAAAAAAAAGAACTAATCACAGATATTGCCAGTAGGTTCAAAATCTGAAATCGAAAATTGGAAAATTTAATACCGACAATTGAACTTTCCTTATGAGTTATAGTGTCAGAGTCGCAGTAAACCCCCAAAGTATGCCTCTTAAAATCTGTGCTTTCAATTATAAAATTATTTCACAACTGTCTGCAAGAAAAGGACATAATACAGTACATACATACAAGTATGCAGGTACATATAAATTATATTAATGCTGCTTATAAGATTTGTAACATTTTTGTCCAGTGTAATGTCGATGGCTGCGTTTAGCTCCCACGATACAGAAAACTAACCCGAATGCTGACTGGGTCCTGCTTAGAGCCAGCGATTTGTGTGTTTGTATGTTTGTGTATGTTGGCGGATATGGGTGTGTGTTTGTGTGTGTCTCTGCGTGGGTGTATAGATATTTTTGGCACGGATTTCTTTACAGTTTCTTTTTGCCGAAAACTCAAATTAAAGTTTTTGGCAAAAGCACAAAACTAAACTTAACTACTTTAATAGTTTTGCAATGCATGAGGCAAGCGCTGAAGCGTCGCAAAGTACGGCTAAGCGTAACAAAACTTTAAGTTTGTACGTAGAATGGAAGAGCCTACACTTTACATGCAATTCCCTACAGTTATTATGCATAATGTGAATAATGTGGATGCCTGAATTGAAAACAATGTGGCCCATTGTTCTAGAAACTTCGTAGAGTTACGCTTCGAAACATTTCTTTCTAAAGACAGCGTAGTTGGCTTGTTGCTAACAAAGTTTTCAATTCGACACTTTCTCAAACATATTTGAAAAACATGAACTTTTGATATTTAAAAGGTAAGTTTTTTCTATTAATATTAGATAAATTAGAGTAAGACGCCTGGTCGAAGTCACGAGTTCTCACATATTTAAATAACTGTCCAATCGAGGACATAACTTAAATAATGAACAGCACATAGAAACTATATATTGCCAGAAAAAGAAAGGACACCATGAACCTTGAGATATGCCACTTTCAAATGATAGAGTTTGGAAGTGTTTTGCTTCTGTGGTTAAATATATACATATACAGACTTTCTAAAGTAGTGCAATATTACATTTCACAATGAATACATTTTTTGATCGACATTGCTAAGTTTATAGAAGGAGCCTTTCTCATAGAACTGGCGCAATCAAACTCTTCATTATTTAAAATTTTTGGTAATTATACTCTGTACATGAAATGTACAAGAGTATATTAGGTTTGCGGGAGCTGAAAAATGTAACAGGCAGAAGGAGGCGTGGTAGACCCCACAAAGTATATATATTCTTGATCAGCATGACAAGACGAATCGATTTAGCCCTGTCTGTCTGTCCGTCTGTCCGTCCGTCCGTCCGTCCGTCCGTATGATCACCTAGATCTCAGAGACTATAAGAGCTAGAGACACCAAATTTTGCACAAAGATGCCTTATGTGTGTACGCTATACGAGTTTGTTTTATTTTTTTGATTTTCCCCCCCACTTCCCCCCTATGGGGGTTTTCCCGATTTTCCATTCGTATAATCGCCTATATCTCGGAGACTATAACACCTAGGAACACCAAATTTTAGTCCCAGATGCCTTGTGTGAATACGCAGAAAATGTATATTTTGGAAATACCACCAGTTGGTTATTATGTGTCCGTGTGTCAAGTTTCACTATGATAGACCAATTTAACAAGAAGTTATAGCCATAAATATATTTGCTGCTGCAGCGCTGCCCACGGCTGTTGTTGATGTTGCTGTTTAGTTGACTGCGAAAATGCCAACACAGACACAAATAGACGCACATAAACATACATACACTCACATAGACGCAATTGCTTTGTATATGTGCAATTATATACCCTTTACGTGAGTTCGAATACCGAGAAAGGTAAAATCGATCAAATTTTTTTAAATTTTCTTATTTTTTTTCTATAATTATTGTAAACATATGTACAGAGTATTTTAAAGTCGGGACACCCGACTTTAGCTTTTTTACTTGTTTTTCAATAAAATATAGTCCGAAGGGTCAGGGGCTTATCAAGTATAGAACATAAAGAAGCAGATCGAATGATTTTCTCAAAATCTTGGTTGTTACATTAAACGATATACTATCACAATATCTTTATCCATAATCCATTTTCTTATCAGGGGTTTTAAGCAAAAAATTATGAATACATCAAAATTAGACTCAATTTCTTGGAAATTTTGCAAAATATTCGAAAATATGTCTCCTCTTGATGATGTGACATTTTCGTCATTTTGATTCCGCAGCGTTCATATCGAATAAAAGAATTAATGGGATTTAATGACAAGCAGATAAATAAGGAAGCGCATTCTAAAAATTAGATACTCTTCCAGAAGATGCAAATGTTTATTTATGCCCTTTTAGCGCTACTGAACAAATTAGAGAATATATGTAAGTATTTGTTTTTGATTAATGTACGTCCTTTCGCCTCTCATCTCATTTGCTTTTTACAACCACCAACAAAATGAAGATGGATGCCAAGCAATAATCTTGTTTGCTTCTCAATCGAGTATGGATTTCCTTTCATTTTATGATACTTGTATGCAGTTACAATCAGTGCTCGATACGTGTTCCAATCAGGCAACATTTTAAAGGACGTCCAATAGATTTATTGCCAATGTAGCGAACTTCATGTCAAACTAGCAATATGCATCTTATCGGAGACCGTCTATCTGCTGTTCCATCTGGGTGTAGGGGCAATCGAGTCCCTTGTAGATTTGCACGCTCTGCTGCTTGCGAACAAAATGAAAACATGCCAAGCTACACGTTGTATTCGTATCGCATCTTATCTGACTTCAGTCTCCATGCTCCTCGTGTCCTTGCCATGCTTCCCATATCTACGCAATTTTATGCTTCACATTTCTCTGGATTCAGAGTCCTCTGTGCCTTGGCTTTCTGTTTTTCTTGTTTCTTTGCTTAGTATTGCTTGTTTCGGCATCTCTTTAATTTTCTTCTGCACATTTTGTGTTGTAACAAAAATTATGCAAAAAACAGAAACGACTGTCGAAAGGAGCGGCAGCATTGGCAGCATTGGCAGCAAGGACAACAGCGTTTTGACATGCAAAACGTGACACAAACGAAACGCACGAATTATTAATACCCAAATGGCAACAACAACAACAACAACAACAGGAACAACAGCAAACAAGAAACAGGAACCTAAGCCGACGACGCGTCACTAAATGAGCAGCCAAGCGTAGGGTGCTGGGTTAAGCAACAACACAAGGACCGACAAGGATCACAAGCATGTCACCAACATCGGTGGCGCCTGTGAAATCGAAAACGTTTGGCGCTTCATTAAAAATTTATGAAACAGAGCATCAAGACCC